CAACTTGCCTTGAAACGTTATGTATAGCTATTTAGATAACGCTAGGGTCTTTTATTTATTAATAAGGCCCAAACGAGTATTCGCAAGCCCAACACTAATGTACGAGTTCGAGCGGCATAATAATCGATCATGAATTACGTAAAACATTAATCGTTTTACAATTGTTTGGGAATCAGAAATCCAATACATAAACTTTGAATTTTAACATCAAATTTTCAAGGACGTTCGGGTGCGGTGTCACACCCTAAATTATTGTACTCTACGCCGCGAGAGCGGTAAGAACTTAGTAATGATTAGCTAGGCTCAATTAAATTAAATTCATGTAAATTAGGCCTGATCTGCCAGAAATCTGGTTACCACGGAATCAATCCCGGTTCCCTTCGTCGTTAATTGAGAAGAAACTACTTTTATTTTAATCGTTCATCTGCATTAGTTTAATTTTAATTCACCAATCAATCTCGCACACTTGTATTTATTTATTTTATTTCTTTTTAATCGCTGAATTTAGTTAATCTTTAATTCCCTTTTGTCCGTCCCTGTGGAGACGATACTCGTACTTTACACCACTTTTCTACAACCATTTTAAGTGCGAGAAAACACTCATCACACCACTAACAAAGCATATGTTTCAACAACCTTACATGACCAACCTTTCTCCTTTGCCCATAACATTGCTTCACGTACTCCCCGCGCCCCTGTTGGACATGAATAAACTGTTCATTCCCATCCTGTGCAATCCATACCCAAGCTCTAACTCCCGTCTGTTGATTGATTGCAGCATCACGTTTACTTTAATCCACCCAACTCCCTATTTCCCCCACTTTGCTCCCTCATGATTTGCGTTCCCTGTTATTTGTCTCTGTAGTTGTGCTTCACGCCAACCTCCCAAAGCTGCAGGTCCCACTACTATCACATTCCTAATGCAAAAATCTGCATTCTTTCACACTATAAATCTGCAAAAATCCTCCTCTATTAGCTTCTCAAACATAACTTGTATCCACTTAGCAAAAGAAACAACTGGCCGCACTAACTGAGTGCGTAACTTAGATCAGATTTCTCTAGTTTCTGGACGATTACAAAAAAGATGTAAAACATTCTCCTCCGCTTCGCTGCACACTGGACAATCTGCCAGCACATTTACCCGTCATTGTTTTTACTTATCTATCGTAGGAGGAGCACCCACAATGAGCTGCCAAAAAAGAATTTTATTTTTGGACGAATATATAGATATAAAAGAAGGCTAAAAACATCCTGACATGTATAATATGATGGGTGATAAATGAAAAGTCTAAAATCATGTCAGAAATTCACACTGTAAATGATAGTACACCTTACATACCAAGTAGATCATCATTATGAGTTCTAAGAACCATACCACATAAAATTAGGATATGTGGTTACCACTCTAGCAAAGATCACAAAGAAATCATTCAATAAAAACATCTTCAGGACAATATCAAGTATCAACCTACTTTTACTTATATTGGTGCTAAGAGACTTATATGCATAAATGCCATGAAATATGTACAGATATTAGTATGAATGTTAAGTATCTACCTCATAGGTAGTAGCACCAATAGAATGATTCATTCAATATTGAAAGATGATTTAAGACCCCATCCATAAATACAAAACTGTGTTTCAGGAATGCATTTAAATGTGTCAAAGGAGCAATTTTAGACTCTTTTCTAGTAGCTCGGATGAGATATATTTATTAGAGAAACTCAATGCACACTCAGGTCTATCAAGTTCTTCCCCTAACCATACAAATGGACCAGCCTATCCTCCCCAATGAGAGTCTTCCGTATGGAATATGTTAGAAGTTACATGAGAACATTGAAAATGCAAAGCCTTAAAGGGGGATATCAAAGATAATATCTTCCTTTAGTAAATTACCTCAACATTAACAAATAAGTAAATATATTTTGGTTTGATGCTCCTGAATTGAATTAAAGGCGGGCTTAGTAAGAACATTACTAACTGAACAAAAAGACTATGAGTAAAGAAGCAGATTTTCACTCTATAGTTCAGTTTTCTGTTTCATTCTACTGCTAATTGACATTCTCCAAAAAGACCTTGAAAGGAGAGTTTGCAGTCATTAAAGAATAAATAAATTTAGATGTAAACCTAGTGAGTAATAGAGTAAGACACGGAGATTATTCAGGCCGGATTATTCGAAATTAGAGAATTATTCCCCTCCTTGGACTTTAGCCAGCATATTTGGACTATACGGGCCAGATTTGGGCCCATTCGCTTTCTTATTTCTACTCTTAGTTTATAACCGTTGTATCATTTATTTCGTTACACTTTATTCTCTTAATATTCTCTAATTTTTAATAAAACTGGTAAATGTTCCCCGGCATTTACCTCATCTCTCTAGGTGTTTTACGGGGGGGGAGTAAGACACAGAAATTGATTATGATATGAAGCGGGAAGAGCATGTGGCGGGACCGGGCTTGGGCCCTATCTGGACTCCTTTCCCATCCCACCTCCTTTGCAAGTTGCAACTTTCAAAAACAAGCAATTTTCATAGTTAAGGATTTCATGAATGTCTTCCACATGTTTGACAAAATGCATTAGCCACTGTCTAAGATTTACAATTGTCACTTTCTATACTAAGAGCAAGAATTTACTTCATTCTACTCATATTTTCAATTCCAACAACTTTTTTCTTTTTTATAAACTATAATTTATTTTTTTGCGAGGATTATAAACTATAATTTAATTCACACAATAAGCTAATCTTAATCTAATGCTTTGAACTAATTCACTTACGTAATGACCAAGGCTGCTGGTGTAATTTGGAATGAAGCAGTATAGTCATATAGTCTGGTCTGCTTTATGAAAAAGCTATTCTATTCATATTATTAGATTCCATAAACCGAAGCAAAATACTTTATTGTAACCTTTCACAAAGAAATGCAAAATATTATCAATTTTAGGAAATATTTAACGAAGAGCATTGTTGTGCTACACATGCCCACACACATAACTACATAAGTACAAATTTGTTTGTAGTGCTTAAGCCATTTTCTGTCCTCTCTGGTATTCCTTTGTGTTTCACACTTTATACTTTTTGTTAATAAGAATTTAAAAATACAAGATTTATTAATATATGTGGAGTAAGTGATAACATTACTAAGGAAACTCAGTTCTTGGAACTTCCAATTTTAGAAGTTAATATAAAGGAGTTTTCCTTGTTAAATTTGTAACTTACTCCATGTGTTTTTGCAAAAAAAATGTTGGGTGTGTTTCGGAAAATAAAGAAAATTAATTAAAATAAATTAATTAATTAAAATGACGAAAGAAAAACAAGAAAAGAGATGGAGCAGAATTTGTCAAAGCTCGTGCTACGCACGATGTCCTTAAAACGTATTTGTTGCCTCCCACGGTGCTAGGAGCGTTGCAACAATAGTTTCCCAGGATACGATGACAACGAACTAGTGTTTGAGCACTCAAACAAAAGTTCCAGCGAACGAGAACAAAGACTGAACACAGAAGGAAATTTTCGGAATGCTAGCAGTGTGTTTTTGAGGTGCAAAACGTGAATGGAGTGTCTAAATTCGTGTGTTGTTGCAAACCACCTGCCAGCCATTATATAGGAGGATTTGTTGTGTGAAAATAGTGAATTAATGGACCTGAACGTTGGACATCAATGACCAGCTCGTTGGGCATTGAATCGTCCATGAACTGTCCATTTAACGCTGCATTAAAAGATATAAACGTTGGGCATTAATTGTTGTAACGTTTCAGAAGCGCGACAGAAGACCTCCATCAGAACACCCCGGGAGGGGTTCTGATCGGAGGCCAATCAGAAGACCCCAACTCTGATCCGCGGCCATCAGAGTACCCCATCTCTGATGGGCGGCCATCAGAATACCCCATCTCTGATGGGCGGCCATCAGAATACCCCATGAGGGGTTCTGCCATCAGAACACCAACGAGGTGTTCTGATCCGTAGGCTTCTGTCCGAGCACTTCTGCCGCTGGGAAAAAATTAAACGTTTCGGGAAGAAAACAAAAATTAATCGTATCTCTTGAGAGATAGATTTTTGGACGACATTCGTGTCCGCAGGTCGCGGTTTTTCTTCTCCGAATTCGGGATTTGATTTGCACCCCCCCCCCCCCCCCCCCCCCGCGCGTGGAGAGAGCCTTTACCCTTAAGAATCTTAACTCCATAAGGGGGGAGTCCCTTTATAAAGGGTAGCAAATCCCTTGGGTTTTCCGGTGTGGGAAATTAACACACTAGAAACCCATCCTTTTTCCCTTCTAACGGGTAAACTTCGAAAAGCGATTTCTCATTCACCCGTTATCCGTTTTGAGCGTACCACATATCGAATTGTAGCCCTTAACAAGGACAATCCGAAACCACTTTGACCCGACCCAAATCGGAAGTGGGCCCCACTCAAAAAATTGCCCCAAAATAGCCATTTAATGCAATTTTTCACACATTTTTCCAACAAAAAAAAAAAACACTCTCCCTAAAATATCACTTCTTCTTATGTAAAAGGCATACTTATTTTACCCCACATATTTTAACTTTTACAAATTTTATACATTGATTATGACAAAGTTAGCTAATACGACATATTTGTATTTGTTATGTTTTGTATTCTATGTGTATGAAAAGATCTGTGATGATATCAATAACAAATTGCATTTATATCTTTTACATGATTCATTTGAATAACATTGTGAATATTGCAACATTTGTATCACCGACTCCTTTAGTTTTCTTTAAATATTTTATGTGATATTATAAATACCAATCAACTATACATTTATTTTTTGTGAGGAAGTGAATCTTTTTTGCATTTATGCCGAAGAAAACCAAACGGAAAACCGAATTGCGCGCGGCTAAAAGATTCTATTAAAATTTGGATCGGGACCAGCTGCTCTGCAACCGGGTCGGACCCAGGAGCTAGTGACAACTCATCTCGCGACAGACAACTTGTCTATGGGAGACGAGTGTACACTTTTTGTGTACAAAAAGTGTGTACCACTAGCTCCACCCTTCTTATCAGCGCTCTCTAGCCAGTTCTTGTGTACGTTGGCGAAGTTTACAGTGGTGTATCTGAACACAGGCGTTAAGAAAATTGGAGGTAAGCCCACCCGCATCAACCTTTCAATTGACCTTGTCAGGCCTTGCTTCTTCTTCCGCTACTCGTAAACGAACGACGATGAAGCTCCGGTATGCAATGGTGTGCTCGTCGAATCAGAATCGGAGCATGGAGGCGCATTTGCTTCTCAAGAGGGAGGGTTTCGATGTCTCCTCCTACGGGACTGGGCAGCACGTGAAGCTCCCTGGACCTTCCCTCAGAGAACCCAACGTATATGACTTCGGCACTCCTTATAAGCTCATGTTCGATGAACTCCGTCGCAAAGACCAGGAATTGTATGCCTATAAACTCATGCATTCATTATCTTATGTTCCAGTTTTTGAATTTCTTTTGATTGATAATTCTGTTGGATAAAAAAAGAAGCCTTATTTAGGGTTTTGTCCAATTTGCATTCATCATTGGGTTGGATTTTATTTATTGAATTGATAAACAATTAATCCTTTCAAGCTAAGGTAAATCACAATAATTGCTAAGCTGTGTTTTGGTTGTAGTGTCTCAAAATTTCAGTCTTATATTATTCACCATTGTTAATTCTATCCTGATGAGTATAAATTATCAAACAATGCAATATGTTAGTCTGTCTACTAATAGAAAGGGTCATATAGGTACAAGAGAAACGGGATACTGCCCATGCTCAAAAGAAATTTGGGTGTAAAGCTTGCACCTCAACGTTGGCAGGATAATGCTGATGATGGGCCTTTTGACGTAGTGCTTACTTTCGAAGAGAAGGTGTTCGATATGGTGATTGAAGGTCTGTATGGTAGCTTAATCGTCCTTGTTTTTTGACAATGTTAATTTTGCTTTCTCTTTTGGGGATTTTTTGCGGCTCCATTTATTGACAAGCAATTGCTGCATAGGGTTGCATCACTTGCATGTTTTTTCTTTCTCTTGTCTATTAATCAATAGATACTGTTCCCATATCTGCTTTTGTTACCACATGATATATCAATTGATACTCCACGCCTTTTTCAGCTTATCTTTTTTTTCGTTTATAAAGTCAGCAGTAGTTCATGTAGTTCTTTTTCCTAAACTTTTTTCCAGTTCAACTGTTCAAGGGTTGAAGTGTTTATAGCAATCCAGAGTAGAAATGAATTGTGATTATAAGATCAACTATCCATATACTAAAAGATGGCATATTCCTATTCATCCTGCACTTTATTGCATTGCCTCTACTTACCTTTTAGATATTGATTATAGAAGCTTGGATATGATATTCTTGCAATTTTTTGTATACTCTGAGTTTTGTCTAACAGAAACTATAGACATGAACATTTTATGGTTCATAAATTGTCTGTATTGATGTAATTGGTGAGCCGATGAAGATTAGATCATTTCAAAGTGAGGGCTCAAGAGGCGAGGTCAAAGTGCATACATGTTTAAAGGAGGGTGGAGCTCATCTGGGAAAATATAAATTTAAAATGTAACCGTGGTAGTTAGCAGAAGTGGGGTGGTGGGTTTGGGTTGGGTAGGCCTTGATCTGAAAACATAAAAAAAAGAAACAAAAGCTTACCTAATGGCCCTTTCTGCTAGCTAGTAAATTTTTCGTATGCTGAATATGTCACAATAACACCTGAAAGCATAGAATTTTGTCGAAAGGCAGTGTATCTCCCTCTCATGGTTTAACTTTAAACAATGGGGTTGAGCCTTTTGAGAGCCCTTGTGATTCATCCTCCACGTTTGTTTTACATAACATGTAATTTAACTGTATGTGCAGACCTCCATAACCGTGATCAACCTCTCATGAAGCTTGCTCTAGTAATCAATCTAGAAGTAAAAGATAACCACGAAGAGGCAGCAATAGGAGGACGTCTTGCTTTAACATTGTGCCAAGAGGTATACATTTCATGTGTCTTTCTTTTTTACATTTCATACAGAATTTGCTTCCGGTCAAGCATGTCTATCTGATCACATCTTATAAAATAACCTTTTTTTTTCTTATTTATCTATTGGATGATTTTGCAGATTGATGCTGTCGAAAATTGGGAGGAGACAATTGATAGTATTGTCAACAATTTTGAGAGAAAGAATCGTAGGAAGCTTCTCTACAGTATCACATTTTACTGACATCACACCCACGGTGTACAAGTGTTTTGTACACCATGATGTTTTGCCAATCCGAGAAGTAGATTCTGATGATCTCCAGAAAGTCATGTTTATCAATTCGTAGTAGTCTTGGCAATTTGCCAACTTGGATTGTCCGAGGAATCTGGATATCTCAAAGTATTGAAACATTCCATTGCATTTTCTTCATGTGTGCCTCTTCACCCTGCAGTTTGTGCTATGGTTATGCAATCACTAAGCAAACTATGCATTGCAAAAGATAGGAAAGGACAGATTCCATACCAGTCTACCATGAGAAGGAGAGTAGGTTTGATCTGCCACATTTCACTTATCACTTCCCCTGGAAGAAAAGATTTTTCATGCACTCTGCTTTCTGATTGCCTGCACTAATTTGGGATTAAGAGAATGCTGCTCTTCTACGAACAAAAAAGGCTTCAATTGAATTGTTATATATGACTGATTATATCTACACTACTTGTGTTAATTTACTTGCTATTTCTTTGATGATTGATAAATTCATATGAGAAATTTCTGAAAAGATGGACCCCGAGGGGATACTTCTCACATTATCCTTCCTTTTTGGGATGGTTTAAGTTGAAGGGAGAGGAATTCTAGGGGGTTTGGGGGTTAATGATCCCGTGGCCTTCTCTTAGTCAGCATACAGTAATGCCTCAAATGGAAGAGTTAGGACATGCTTACTTCGTCGGTTATTAAGCGGTGCTTACTAATACATGTGTTAGTAAGTGGTGCATTAAATAAGCAGTGCTATAGATACATGTTTACTTCACATGACTTAAGATTGGGTTTAAATGGTCTAATTAAGTGGTTGTTCTCCCGACTTTTGAAAAGTAATTTATCTTATAAATTATATGAAAAGTGTTTAATAGTAAAAGATGATAATAATTGAAATATGATTTGAGAAAGAAAATCTTAGACTTAGAGTGGAGTAGAGTTTCTTTTATATAGAAAAAATCAAAACATTTAAAGCACCAATTTCATTATTCTAGCTTTTAAATTTAAAATATTTAATTTAAGTAGTAATGCATGTTTGGAAACACTACTTTTAACTGTTTTAAAGTGAAAACCATTACTTTTTTCATAACTTTGTGCAAGCATTACCTTAATCATTTTCTAGTGACTCCTAGTGCGTGAATTTATATTGTTGAGAATTCGGACAATTATTCAAGCGACTTGTGATTTAGTTCTTCATGAGGCAATTTGGGTCCTTAGTAGTTAACAGGGTTAGATTTAGTTCGATAATGCCATGATCACATAATGAAGGGAAAATAAAAAGTAAAAATGGACCTCATGATGCTGACTCTTACCATTTTCACAAAAATTGAATATGATGTAATCAAAAATACAATTCACTCTCTGATCAACAAAACTACTTTACTTTTGACGTATCAACAGTTTCTTCCCTAAAAAAATGTATGAACAGTTTCATTCATAAGATCTATCATTATTCATTTTGTTCCAAACTTCTCATTCTATGAAGCCATATGGCGGATACAAAATGGGCTTCAATTGGGATGGTTTAAGTTAAAGGGAGAGGAATTCTAGGGGTTTTGGGATTAATGATCTCGTCGCCCTCTATTAGTAAGCATACAGTAATGCCTCAAATGGAAGAGTTAGGACATCTTACTTCGTCGGTTATTAAGCAGTGCTTAATAATACATGTGTTAGTAAGTGGTGCATTAAATAAGCAGTGCTATAGGTACATGTCTACTTCACATGACTTAAAATTGGGTTTAAATTGTCTAATTAAGTGGTTGTTCTCCCGACTTTTGAAAAGTAATTTATCTTATAAATTACAGTATATGAAAAGTATTTAATAGTAAAAGATGATAATAATTGAAATATGATTTGAGAAAGAAAAAAAAAATCGAAACATGATTTGAGAAAGAAAATCTTAGAGTGTAGTAGAGTGTCTTTTATCAGCCAAAAAGAGAATGCTACTCTTCTACGAACCAAAAAGGCTGTTGATTGTTATAAATGACTTATTATATCAGCCAAAAAGAGAATACTTCTCATTCTATGAGGCCGTATGGAGGATACAAAATGGGCTGATAATGCAAGTGTTGAGCTACTTTTTTGGCTGAAAATTATTATCTTACGAGTGATGTACTAAATGACCGCTCTGTCCTTCTATACGGAGGATATATATCTAGTTAGGTTGCATCATCTTCGCACTTTATCTTCCTGTTTGCTCTACTTCTTTAGGACGCATCGAGTAGTTTTGTTACTTAGCTGCTTCATATTGCTCTATCTTCTTCATCTTTCCAAAATGCCCTCTCCTAGTTGTAAGATATGAAAATAATTATCGGTGTTTCTGTTCTATATGATTATTACTGATTGTTCACAAATAGATGTTGGGAGAAAGATGCTAGATAACATGGTATGATACGAAGTAATATGAAGCATAGAAATGAAGAGTGTATTACAAAGTGATGAAGGTGTAAAAGCCCCATTCCGGTGGAATCCCGGGCCGGTTCCGGGCCTTAACCCATAAACAAAAAGCCCGGTTTGGACCAACCCGGAGCCCGGCCCGACCCTGAACCAGTCCATGCCTAGGTTTAGTCCCAAAACTAGACATGAGCAATATTGTTACTTTTTACTTGAAAATTGACTCATTTATAGTTATGAAATCAACTTGATAGTAGAAGTCGGTACCAGAAATTGGTTCAACGTGTAAAAGAAACCAGTCCATACCAACCGATTATATTGACTGTTCGATAGCAGCGAATTCAGTTAGCTATTTTGAATAGCCTTTATGATCAGAGGATCAAAATAAAATGCCAACTTTATTGTTCACAAGTAGCTGTTAAGACACAAAATGATACTAGTATTAAGCATTGGCTACAAAGGATATATGAAGTAACTTAGTTTTTTATGTTTTGAGTAGTACATTAACCATTATTTTATAGGAGTATAATCACTATTATTATTATTATTATTATTATTATTATACTATTATCTATACACACATTCATGTGTTTTTACTATTAATATTTTAAATATGATTATTTTTAGTAACTTTTAAAATAATAATATTATAAATAAGCATGATGATATGGTTCGGATTCAGTTCAGTGTAAAATGTAAAATAGGTTTATACGGAGTTAGTGAATTTGATTAATAACATCTTTTGAGTCGACAATCGGTTCCCAATTTTGATTGGATTTTTAGCGCCGCTACTGTCCAAATTAAAAGTAACGGGCATAAAAAAAGGATATTACACATTTGTTAGGTGGCTCATAACGTGATTAATGATTTAACTTCATCAGCAAAGAGGATAAAAAACAAAAAGTGCTTAAAATATCAAAGAAAATGACAAAAAGGTGTGATTTTTATAGTGCAAGCTGTACAAGGCGAGGTCAGTCCGGTTGATTTATTAAGATTCAGAAAGGCTGTTTTGCAGATTCAGAGAGAAGATGCCGAGGAGCAGATTTGCAGGTTCACTCACTTCGCCGAAGGTCGACGTTGTTATCGACATGGGCAATCCCTTCCTCAATCACACTGTCGATGCTTTCTTGAAGATTGGGACGGTGATCCACCCCACCCCCACCCCACTCCCACCCCCCCCATCCCCACCCCTTCAGGCTTTTTTTTACAGTAGCAGATTTCAGGTAAAGTTGCTCTTTTTGGCTGATTTCAGGTAGCTGCTGTCAAAACTGCAGCTGAGGAATCTTATTACATGGTAGAACGAGGTAACTTTTGCTCTGCTTCAATGCTCGGTGTACCAAAAAGTTTTACTCTTTTTATACACATTTTCAAAACCCTTGGCAAAAAGATGTACCTAATACATTGTTGTTTGTAAAGTTACCCAGAACACGAATTTGGAAAAAACCAATTTTAGTTGTAGGTACTATAAATGCCGGATTGAATAGAACAAAATATAGTAAGATATGATCAAATAAACGCATCGCCTGTTTGGAGTCAATCTAGTGTTGTTGTGGATTATATAATTGTCCTGTAATTTTTGGTAAATGAAGTCTAAATGCGAATTTCAGAACTTTATATTGAACATGCATTGATTTCCTTAGAATGGTAATATTTCTTGTCTCTGTATAGATAATCAATGTATGCTCATAGGCATTGATTTCCTTATAACTAGATATTCACATACTTGCAGAGAACTAGATATTGGTACAAATGTCATTTTCCCTTTGCTTATTGAATGAAATTATCACTTGTTTGTGATTATCAACTTGATTTATTGATTGTAGCCTAACCCACTGATTTGAGGATAAAAGTTGCTTGTTTTGGTTTTTGTGTTGGCTAGGATCTGAGTTATATTCATGTTAATGTCCTTTAAAAGGACTTGGAGCATGAATGTTTTGTAAATTATTTGACAAAACTGTTTTATTTCATGCATTGTAAAGAAGATGTACATATTGTTCAGTTGACCAAATCTTGATTCAAATGTTTTTTTCAATTTATTTATTACAGGAAGGGTTTCACAGGACAAACTTTCACATTCGGTGAGAATGCACAGATGACAACATATGTTTATAATATTTGCATGTGTGTGTTCTATCTTCTAACCAGATTTAATGTGGTTGCAGTTAAAGAAAATGTGCAAAGAAGGCGCTTATTGGGGTGGGTCCTCTCTATGCTAAATGCCATTTCTTGAGTACGCAAAAAGAAGAAGCCGTGGTATACATTTTCTGAAGTTTTGGATTTACAGGGACTGTAGCTGGAGTATATGCTGGAATGGAGTTCGGGGTGGAGAGAATCCGAGGAGAAAGAGATTGGGTAATATCACTGCACTCACCTCTTTCAAGTAAAACCTTCTTTTAATTCAAGCACACACACTGGCAATGCTTACTTTACGAGGCCATAACTTTTGATTCGAAATAAGTTACGAGACTTATTTCATATCAAACTGTAGGTATTTCATCCCTCCACAAGGATAGAAAAGTTTCCGGTTCAACAGCTGCCCGCACAAACCCTCAGGCTTCTCCCCCAACTATAGAATAGACAACATGAAAAAAACTTCAATACAAGCATTTTAGAGGGGAGGAGAGTGAAGGGGTTGTGTGTTCTTGTTTGGCTGTGAGGGAAAAGGTAGAGGAAATATAAAAACCTCCATTAGCTTCATAATCCTCATATCTCACTCACCCGAGATTTTGAGGGGTTTATACACACATACAGTGATTAGTCATATATTTCTTCAACTTTTTGTATCAAATTTGTGCTATTGTGACACATTTAGATTAACACGTCTTAAGTTGCAATAAAATTTCTATCAAACTCAACCGATTTTATGTCTTTTTCTGAAGTATTAAATCCTCTCCAGTACTTCATTGAACCAAAAAACATTATTTTAGCCACCTTCCTTTTCTTCCATCCAGTTCCCTCATCTTTTATGTGAAGGACCAAGATAACAAGTTATTTCTCTTTTACATTGAAAAAACAGGACATTTTTTTGGGTACAACGGAAATAAAAAATAAAACGGGAAACAACAAAGCTATAGTCTAATAATTTTGAGTCCAGTTTTGTCCTCCCAAACAGGACATGCTTATAAAGGTTAGTGTCTATTGGTAAGAGCAGAAAGGTGTTCATATGTTTTTTTTACTTACACGAGCCTTGGCATATTTGCAAGTGATTTCATAACATGACAGTATATTTCTGGCATTTTGCTTCACGGGTGAAATATCTTCACTTTTTTCTCATTTGTACTTTTCAATGATCCAGAAGAATGCAATGATAGGGGGTGCACTGACTGGGGCACTTATATCTATTGCCAGCAGCGAAAACAAAGAGAAAATTGTAAAGAGTGCCATAACAGGTGGTGCTCTTGCAACTGCAGCAGAATTCCTCAATTATCTCAAGTGAAGCATGGAAAATAAATTATGTCTTATGGCCCAATAATGGTTCCATGCATGTAATGTTTGTTCCTCTTTGTTGGCTATGTAAGATTCATAAGACAAAACACAACTTTGCCTTGGAGAACATTGGTGGCAGCTGGCAAGCTTTATTCTCTCACAATGTTTAACATGTTCCCTCAAGGCCTCAGGCCCTCAACATTGAGTGGTCATTTGTCAACACTAGGAATTTAGTGTAGCCTGAGCTTGAGTTAGGAATGAGCAGGAAAACTATTTCTTTAATATAAATTTTTATAAAAGAAGTTGTCCTAAATAGGAATAAAAACGTTTGAGAATTTCAAAATAGGAGTATTATATTTTTATTCTATAATTTTGAGTAATTAGAGACTGAAAATGATGTGCTAATTATAGCACTATTTGGCCACTCATGGTAGTATATTGTTATGGTTTAAATCCCTCCTATTTAGGGAAATAAAACATAGCACTCCTATTCTGACAAACATTTTTTCTCTTATTTCGGGAATTTAGTAACTCATTACTCAAGCACATAAAAAATGCATAATACTTTAAAAAATAATCTTTTTTTTGAAAGAATTTAAAAAACAAAAAGAATTTTGTCTTGGAGATCTGAACCACATTCCTTGGGCTTGGTTTAGATCTCCACTCCTTCCAAACAATTCAATAGCAAACTTTCACTTCATAATCTATTTCTCTCAGCAACAACAAAATCTATAATTTTCTCTGCAATATAATATAAAGGTGGAACACAATATGTATCAACAATTGTTTCCCATTAGCAATGCAATCACCCAAAAAAAGAAGATAAATAACATGAGTAACAGATGAGAACATGCATCCACAATTAGCGTCAAGTTTTGAATTGGTCAATGAGCTTTAGTAAACTGTAAGTCTCAGAATCTGGCCTGGCCCCTCCTAACACCATCCTTTTTAGAAGATTGGGATCATATACATTTGCCTTCACATATGCCTTAATCAATGCATTGTACACAAATGTGTACCTTATATATTTTGCTTTCTTCAGTTCTTCAAACAACTTCTCTACCATTTCGAGCTCCCCATTATCTGCCAAAATTTCAATTATTGAAAGAGTAGTGTCTAGCCATGGAGTCGACCTTTTGACCTTTATGCTTGTAGTCATATCCATCCCAAGGTCCAGAGTTTTCATGGCTTCCTTCATTAGTCCGGCTTTTAAGCAACCTAAAGCAAGATGTCGGAAAGTTATGGAATTTGCTTTCAACCCACATGCCCCCATCTCTTTATACAGCATAGTTGCTTTTGTGACCAGACCATGCCGACAGTACACCGCTATCATCGAGTTGAACTGATCAATTGATTTCAAACCCTTTTCTGATTTCATTTCCAACCACAGTCCTTCGGCTCTGTTTAGATCTCCAATCCTCCCAAATGCTTCAATAGCCAACATGAAGCTCTTAGACGTAACCTGGCGATGTTCTTGGATGATTCCCCATGTCCTCTCCAGCTCCTTTTGTTTGCCTAAATACCCATACAATATAACAAGAATGTCCCAGGTAGACCAGTTCTTACCAGTTGCAGACTTCTCAATAGCTTCAACATAAGTTTCACACACTGTATACAGCTTTGCCACAGCATGGGCAGTAGCTAAAATGCAGTATGTTACCTCATTAGGTTGAACCTTGACTCTCTTCATATCATTAAACACTTTGAGCAAGCCTTCAATGTTGTGATCATTAGATTCAATCTTTAGCAGAATATTAAAGGTGGAAACATGCGGAGTCACCTTGTCGGCTTTCATCTGAGTTAGGATTTTCGGTATACATTTTCTTCGTCCAGGGGAAGCATGGAGAATGATAAGGCGGTTAAAAACTAGATGTGATATCTGATGGCCAAGCTCTCTCATTTTCTTCATGTATGCTAGTGAGAGTCTGATCATCCCTCTTTCCAAGCAAACAAGCACTAGATTGTTGTAGAGTAAATCATTTTGCAATTTGGAGGGAATTCGGGAGAACAAACTTTCACCTTGAGATACCCCATGAAATCTAGAAGTGAATTCCAATAAATACGAATAATCTAGCTCCTTCGGCTTGTATGGCTTCTCCCTTATAACCCATTCCATCACCTGCCAAATTGTTGGCAAACATTCGTTTGAGTGATTTTGTCAAACAGTTGGTGTACAATCATAGGAAGGGAGAAAGCAAAGAGAAAAGATAGAAATTGAACCTCCAGAGCGCGTTTTGTGGACTTGCGCCTGCGCAAGCGGTTTATGGTATGGAAGATATGGCCTCTGTGGATGGGAAAGCCATCGCCCATCCAGCTTTGGAAAGCTGGCCCAACCGGCTCTGCTCTGGGCAAGTTTTCTATCCTCCAACTCAAGCTCTTTAATTCTGATTCCTTATCGTCTTCTTCACTTTCTTCTTTCAATACATTATGCACATCCTCTGTTTCTGAACCGAGAGACGAAGTTGGAACTTGGGTGCAGAAACTGAAATGGAGTTTAGCATTGGAAGGAGATATGACAACTGTTTGACGTAATGCTCTAATGACACTGTGAGCCTTCAGAATCGCTATCAGTTTCATCGATTTGAAAGAGGTCAGCTATTCTAGATAGAGAGGACCATCGGTATTAGCCAATCCAGCAAGCATTGGAACATCCACATCCAGGATAGTGTAGGCTCCAATTTTTTCCCCTGTTTTTTTGCACCCACCTGAAAAAGAAAATTTGAAATTGTAGTTAGACAATGATTGATATAATATTTTATATATAAAAAGTGTGATAGAATAATTTTTTACACCTAAGTATTAATTAATAAATTAACAAAAGAACAATTACGGAGTATTTGTATTATGAATAAAATCCACCACAATTTTAATGAATCCAAAATGTTCAGTATAAAGTAAGCCCATTATTTCTGTTGAGACATATAAGAAAATAATAAAATGTAATACAAACCAGCTAACCAAACACACTTCTAAATTCCCCATTCAAATGTACAGCTTTTGAACTCCCCATTATCAGTTTGCACACTATAGATAACCATGCCACATCTCTCAACGGCCAGCAGGTATATTAAGGAGTGAAAGGTATGTAAATTATTTAGCGAATTTATGCCTAGATAGGCTATCTTATGAAGCTATTTCACATTTTTTTTGTTGGTTTAACGGAGCCAAGTTGTAGTTTAACAAAGTTATGAAGCACAATACCACAAGAACATATTGAAAAACAATGAGAGCCATAACGGTGTTCTAAAATTCATTTAACGGATGTGTTTTGTTTTCTAAAATTCATACTCCGTACTTAAAAGTAAACAATGATTTAAAGTAGGTATGAAACCCATTCTAGTTGTTTCTTTTGTTTTATCTAGGTCCCCGGATCCATGCTACAATTTAAAAAAGAATCCCCGAGTTTAAAGAATGTGTTGATGGAAACCTATACAATTGAACTTTAAAATAAGTCCCTACATGATGCAAATGTAGTTTGAGGAATACCATGGTGGAACGAAATGCAGGTAGCTAAAAAATGATGGCATCATTTTGTGAACCTGCCAGCAATTCATCCTAACAACAATTTACTGATGTAGGCTTGCAGCATATATGGGATTATTGCTGGGAAGTGGGAAGTAAGACCGATGCTTAAAAAATCAATTCTTATAGGCAAACAATGTTAACTCACCTACTTCAAAGTTGGAAAAGCCCATCGGAACAGAGGAAATACTATATAAGAAAACTATTATATATATGTGTGTGTGTTTATACTATTCTGTTTTTCTTAAAATTTAAATCATCTTAAATCTATAACCTTTGATATTTAAAACACAACAGTTACTTATGTTAAGATGGTGTAACATACAGATTGTCTAATGATTTAAAGTATTGGGTGAAGAGGTAAATTGTCACAAAAAATGCAAATGTCTTTATGCACTAATAATGGTTTTCTCTTAATTCAAAGGTATAAAATTTTGGTCTTTAAGCATGTAGTGATAATGAAAATACCTCTGCCTTTAATTAAATATTTAATTCAGACCTATATGCCTGTCTTTGCTAAATTTCTTCAAAATTGCTAAAGTCGATAAATTTCACATCTTCAAATGAGTATGTTAGTAAGCAATAAAGAGCCTAGGGAACTTTGTAATATAAATTAATTTGATATTGTCACTAAACTAGCTGGAGGCACAGTATTCAGGCATAAAAGAAAAAGTTGAAAAAGGGAAATCAATTAAAAAGGAAAATCAAAATAAAAAGAAAATTAAACCTCACAACACCTTCTGAAAAAAAAAAAAAAAAAAAAAAAGGATGACACCACATCCCTGAGGGCCCCTCACCACCGACCGGACGGCACGATGGGAGGATGTAAATTGGACTATAATCACAATCTGATAGATAGAGAGTGGGGCTCTGTCCCCGGTACTTGCAGAGGCCCTATGCATTTTTAAGCATAGTAACCCTCATCGCAGTTGCTGGGATTCGAACCCGAGACCTAACCCTTGTGGCACTCCCTTGCTACCAGTTGAGCTACGCCCACCGGTACAACAACATTTTTCAGCATAGTATCCACCTGAGCTACAACTATTCATGTGATCTATCAACTACGAACAAAAAATATTGTACAGTACTTTTTACGAAAAAATCATAAAATTCGAAATAAAATGAAGAAAGAGGATATCAAATAAAATAACAGTCCTCATATAACTGCGCCGTCATAACTGTCTTCGCGGACTCATTGAAGTGACATTTTGGTTACTCATCGAAGAGACGATTTAAGGATAACTCGGATACTGGGAGCTGCGGCTCTAAAATAGGAGGATGATAGAGGAGGCAGGGGACGAAGAGAGACCTGGGTGGACGAGGACGGAGACGGTGAGTCGGTCAACTCCATTTGTGGGGGAGTGATGGGTCAGATTGTATGAAAATGGGAGTCTTTGTTTGTAGTAATCGGGCCTAACTTATATGGGCCAAATTGGGGAATATGGCTTAGAAAGTTAAATGGTATGTTATGGGCTGAGTTCAATGCGATTTTGGGCAATGCTGCAAAGGTTTAAACTTTAAAGGAGAACAACGTTGTGCCTCAGTTTATAGGCAGGCTCCTTGAAAGCTCCCTCCAATTGCAGAGTGAGTGTGTATGAAGCTTTCATTTATGGTATCCGTCCCTGTCCATTGGAAAGTGTGGCAATCCATGTCTTTGATGCTAACAAAAGTTGTAATAAACTAATATTAATTACTAGAAGAGAATGAACACAAAAGATGTGAAGTTATATTTAGAAACAAAAGCATCAAAAGCTACATGAAATCAAAGCCCATTACATAGAAAAGAGACACGACTCCAGCACCATTAACATAACCACATCATAATGGTATCAAACTGCGATTCCCTGATTTAATCGACCTCCTCAATCTTGGGTCCCGCACCACTGGCAGGAGGAGCGTCATCATCATCATCATCCATTGGAGCTCCACCACCCTGGTACATCTTAGCTACGATCGGATTGCACAATGCCTCCAGCTCCTTCATCTTGTCTTCAAACTCCTCCGCCTCTGCCAGTTGGTTGCTGTCAAGCCACCGGATGGCTTCCTCAATTGCATCCTCAATCTTTTTCTTGTCAGCAGGTGGGAGCTTGGCACCTATCTTCTCATCCTTCATTGTGTTCCTCATGTTGTAGGCATAGTTCTCCAAGGCGTTCTTAGCATCCACCTTCTTCTTGTGGTCCTCATCTTCAGACTTGTACTTCTCTGCCTCTTGCACCATTCTCTCAATCTCCTCCTTGGAGAGTCTTCCTTTATCATTGGTGATGGTGATTTTGTTCTTCTGGCCAGTTGTTTTGTCTTCAGCTGAAACATTGAGGATACCATTGGCATCAATGTCAAAACAGACTGTAATCTGCGGGACACCCCTGGGGGCTGGGGGAATGCCAGATAGCTCAAATTTGCCCAACAAGTTGTTATCCTTGGTCCTGGTCCTCTCTCCTTCATAGACTTGGATCAGCACACCAGGCTGGTTGTCTGAGTAAGTGGAGAAGACTTGCTCTTTCTTGGTGGGAATGGTTGTGTTCCTTGGGATCAAAACGGTCATAACCCCACCGGCAGTCTCCAGGCCAAGGGAGAGGGGAGTGACATCCAGCAGCAACAGGTCTTGAACTTTCTGGTTTCCTTCTCCGGTCAGAATGGCAGCCTGGACAGCAGCACCATAGGCAACAGCTTCATCTGGATTGATGCTCTTGCAAAGCTCTTTGCCGTTGAAGAAATCCTGCAGCAATTGCTGAACCTTGGGAATCCTAGTGGATCCACCCACAAGGACAACATCATGGACGCTGCTCTTATCCATCTTGGCATCTCTCAAACACTTCTCCACTGGCTCCATACACTTCCTAAATAGGTCCATGTTCAACTCCTCAAACCTTGCCCTAGTAATGGTAGTGTAAAAATCAATTCCCTCAAACAAGGAATCAATTTCAATGGTGGTCTGAGCAGTGGATGACAAAGTCCTCTTTGCCCTCTCGCAGGATGTCCTTAGCCGCCTCAATGCCCTTGGGTTTCCACTGAGATCCTTCTTGTGTTTCCTCTTGAATTCCTGAACGAAGTGGTTCACCATTCTGTTATCAAAATCTTCACCTCCCAAATGAGTGTCACCTGCAGTAGCTTTAACCTCGAAGATTCCCTCTTCTATCGTAAGAAGAGAAACATCAAAGGTGCCACCACCCAGGTCAAAGATGAGCACGTTCTTCTCTCCCGAGCTGCTCGCTTTCTTGTCCAACCCATATGCAATAGCAGCTGCGGTAGGTTCATTGATTATACGCATAACATTGAGCCCAGAGATGACTCCAGCATCCTTAGTGGCTTGTCGTTGGGAGTCATTGAAGTAAGCAGGGACAGTGACCACGGCATTCTTGATTGTGGTTCCAAGATAAGCCTCTGCAATCTCCTTCATCTTTGTTAGAACCATTGAAGAGATTTCCTCCGCTGAAAACTGTTTTTCCTCTCCCTTGTATGTGACTACTATCATTGGCTTGTCACCAGAACCTGGGATCACCTTGAATGGCCATAACTTCATGTCACTCTGTACCGAAGGATCAGAGAATCTCCTCCCAATCAATCGCTTTGCATCTGAATAAATCCAAAGAACAAATATTTCAATGCACATCAGAACCAATCCATAAATAATCATATACCGAATCATTTAAAAGTAATTAAAACACAAAACAGTTGTTTTATCCAACTCATTAATACGGATCAGGGATATGAAGAATTGAAGATTCGAAACTTCCTCTATATGATTGCAATATAACAAATAGCCTAAAACTCCAAAATCCCTAAAAAAAAAGTACAAAAGAGCTATACGGTGTGTAATTTTCTGTGATGCTGAAAAAGACAAATACGAAAAAGTAAAGAGCATGAGAAACGCACCAAAAACTGTGTTAATAGGGTTCATGGCAACTTGATTCTTCGCAGCATCGCCAATAAGACGTTCGGTGTCCGTGAACGCGACGTAGGACGGAGTCGTTCTGTTTCCCTGATCATTGGCTATAATCTCCACGCGGTCGTGCTGCCACACTCCGACGCAGGAGTACGTCGTCCCCAGGTCGATTCCGATTGCTGGACCTTCACCTTTTCCGGCCATAACTGCCTTCCCTCAACAGTCAAAACAAATTGCGAAAGCCAAAAGAAGAAGTTCGAAAAAACTCTTGTGAAACTTGAAAGAGAGCTTTGGGAGAAACTGGCGAAAATTTTGCTGGTTGAAATGTTGTATGCGTAAGGATGGGAAGGAACAGAGGTCTTAGGAGAGATATTAAAGGAGACATAGGGATTTCCAGAGTGTTCCATTGTATTCGAGTACGTTCTGCAAGCATGTTTCGGAGGAGGTATGAAGACGTCTTCTAGTTGGTTCCAGAAATATCTTCCAATTAATTTCGATTTCGATGGAGCGGACGAATCTTCGACACTGTTTAGTTTCCTTTAGGTTTAAATAAATACGGAGTATGTTATTAGCATTAGATTGAAATTTTTTGGTCTTATCTAATTCCGTTTGAATTTGTTTGTATAAGTTTGATTTTTTCTGATCTAATATATACTGATCTGGTCTAGTCTAAAAGAGGTATGATCTGTGTGTATTAAATATCAATCAAAGTCTAGTCTAATACTCTCTCCGTCTCTAATAACTTTGCAAGTTTGATCGGCACGACGATTAAGAAAGTAAAAATTGTGTGGTTGTGGTTTGTACAGAGGAGAGAAAATTAACTGGAACCACAAATTCTTTACTTAAAATGGAAAGTGACAAAGTTAGTGAACATTCAAAAAAGGAAAAGTTGACAAAGTTATAAGGGACGGAGGGGGTATATGATATAGATGATCCTACTTAAGATATTGTGGTAAATGGGTTGAAAAGTAAAGAGCTTGATTTAAAACATTCTAGTGGACATGTCAATCATTCTAAAGATTCTAATGAGGCCTTATTTGTGAGAGGGTACGTAGGTCTAATAGTAGGTCTAGATACCTCAATAAAGAAAATCAAGATAGGAATAGTCAAAAGTCAGGTAAGAAGAAAGTCTTGTAAGAAGAGGTATAAGTCTAAGAAGATGGTATAGACAATTGTGGGAATTGTGGTCCCACCCCTAAGAAGCCTGACCAAGAAAACTTTATTGTTTCTCATAATGTGTATGATGATGTGTTTATTGTTTATGACTTTGCCAATTATGTGTTAAGTAGATTAACAGAAAATGAGTGGTTGATTGAGTGTAATTGCACTTACCATATGACTCCTTTTAAGTCTATGTTTTCATCCTATGATGTTTGTGATGCTGATTATGTCACTTTAGCTGATAGTAAGAGATGTAAGGTGCATGGGGTGGGAGATACATGCTCCTGATGTGTGCCATAATTTGTTCTCTGTTGGTGTATTTGAGGATAGTGAACTAGAGGGAAAGTGGGGTAATGGTTGCATGAAAGTTTTTAAAAACTCTTTGGTTATGTTCAAAGCTTTGAAAGTGAATATGGTGTATGTTTATCATGTTATACCCTTCTCTGAATTTGCTAATGTTGTTTGTCTTGATAAATTTGTTTTGTGGCATAATTGTTTCGGACATATGAGTAATAAAGGTCTAGAAATCATGCACAAATCTGATTACTTTGGAAATGATTGTGTGTCTTTTGTGCCTTTTCTGTGAAGCATGTGTGCTTAGAAAGCAGCATAGGGTTAGTTTCCTTACTTCTTTCTATCCAAATATGTCTAAGTGTACTTCTATTTTAGAATACATACATGTTGATGTTTGGAGTCTTACTAGTATCCCTACCCACGGAGGTAAGAGATATTTCATGTCTATTGCAAATGATTTTTCTAGAAATGTTTGAGTCTGTCTCCCAGAACACAAATCTGATGTCTTTGAGAGATTTAAGGAGTGGAAAATCTTAGCAGAAAACCAATATGGCTTAAAGGTTAAAGCCCTAAAAATTGACAATCGTATAGAATTTTGTAATAGAGAGATGAACCAAATGTGTGTTGACTGGGGAATAAAGAGGCACAAAAATGTGCCTTATACTCCTCAGCAGAACGGTATAGCTAACCGTATGAATAGAATTTGCTTGATAAAGTGAGAAGTTTACTTGCTACCTCTGGCCTATCTAAAAAACATTTGGGGTGAAGGTAGTTAGTACTGTTGCCTATTTGATAAATAGGTCCCCTTCTGTTCCTCTAGGAGGAAAGTGACCTGAATATGTGGACTCCGGTAAGTCCCTTGACTTATCCAATCTTAGAGTCTTTGGTTGTGTTGCCTATGTTCACCAACAACTACATAAAATAGAACATTGGTCTAAGAAGTGTGTTCTCTTAGGCTATCTTAATGGGGTTAAAGGTTATAAGCAGTGATATAGAAATCAAGTGGGGTTTAAGGTGGTGATCAGTTGGGATGTGATATTCAATGAGTCTGAGTTTTTGTGTCTAAGTGTTCCTGCCCCAAATCCTAACCCTAATTCTGATAGTTTTTAGTTTGAGGTGAAATATGTTCTTACTGCTGCTATTCCATTATTGGATGATATTGTTGTGAATAATTCGGATTCTGCTGAGTTTGAAAATACCTCAACTTCCAGGGAGGTGGAGTCTTTACATGATCATGATCTTGAGTTGCATGATATACATGTTGAGTCTGATTTTCATAATAACACTGTATGGAGCATGATGTTCCTGACTTGCATAACTATCAAAGCCTGCAGCAGCACACCACAATCCGATTATAAAAAAACATAATGATGGAAAAACAAAATTGAGCACCCAACATTTGAGTCTAAATCCTTTCCCTTCTACACAAGTTAATTAAGGGGAGCACAATGAGCATTTTGAAAGTCGGTGCATGAGTTGTTTATACTCGGATTTTAATCAGTAAGTTGACTATATTTTAGTGATAAACTCATGGAAAGGTGCATGTATGGTGGACTTCAAGAATATTCATGAAGTGCCAAGGCAGTGAAGAACTCTAGATGCTGTAATGACATATTTTGTGCTGATTTTCTGTTTTTATCGCTGAACTCCAGGGTAATTTATTCATTTTTTTTACTAAAAAGTCCAATTTGTTCACTGGTTGTCCATTTCATATCGTATAGCCATCAATTCTATCACAAGTGGCAATTTAGTCATTTGGTACAATTCACCCATTGATCCCGTCAACTGTTTTGGCAAATTAGTTACAGTTCAGTAAAGTTTTGGCTTTTAAACAAATAGGCAGCAGACGATATTAGCAAGATAATGAATAGAAAATAACCGATAACATTAAGCCAAAGGACAAAAAATGGCTAATAAAATAATTTTGACGTGACTAAATTCACAACAATAAGTTGTACCAAAAGACTAATAATTTATATTTGCACAAACAAAAAACTATACCTCTGACATGGAAATTGTAGGCCCACCAACCCCCTAAACTGAGTTCCCATACTTTGGGGGCATTGCTTGTGAAGAAAACGGCAAGAAAGAATATTCAGACTCTCAACCAGCATGAACATTTGTTGACAGCAAATAGCTTGGTAAGGGACCAGTGGAAGGACCAGCAAATAACTTTCTCGCACTTAGAATAGATCGTAATATAGTGATGTAAGTACGAGTATCGTCTCCACAGGGACGTACAAAAGGGAATCAAGAATTAATTAAATTCAGCGATTAAAAATAAATAAAATAAATGCGTCGTGCGAGATATGATTGGTATGAAAATTAAACTAATGCGAATGAGCGATTAAATAAATGATTGATTTCTCTCTAATTAACGACTAAGGGAACATGGATTGATTCCGGGTAACCAGATTTCTGGCAGATCAGGCTTAATTACATGAACTTAATTTAATTGAGCCTAGCTAATCATTACTAAGTTCTTACCGCTCTCGCGGCGTAGAGTACAATAATTTAGGGGACCAGACTGATCTCTCATGCAACAGGGTCCTAAATTATTGCCAAGACGAGCGAGCTTACGGCTCCTTAATCGCTACTAATCTCTTAGCGAATGATTAAGTGTGTGTGAAGATGTCCTAGAATAAATTAGATCTCTCTTAACTTATTCTACAAACAATTGTAATTCTAGCGCGCGTTCTAGGTTACAAAAGATATCAGTTAAATTATTCAAACACGATATTCATGCAATTAATCCAACAAGAATCTAGTCATACATCATGATCAACCCCTTCATCAATCCCAAATCCCTAATTAAACTACTCAATTCATAATTGAAGAATCAATAGATATGGGAAGAATGAAATTAATTGTCATTAATTAAAAAGATGAACTTACAAATAATTTCGGAGTCTTGGAGTAAACAATGATAAAAACGCAAGTAAATTCGTCCCTAGGCCTCTCCGTAATGTTCGTAACCCTTAAACAGGAGAATGGAGGCCTTATTTATAGAAAACAGATAAGTTTGGGTTGAACTGGGACTAAAAAGCGGTCAAAATCCGCATTTCTCCGCGTTTCGGACGTACGCACGATCGTGCGTCCCTGGCCACGCACGATCGTGCGTACATGGCTCCTTTGCTTTCTCGCCTCAGACGCACGATCGTGCGTTCCCCTACGCACGGCGTGCGTAAAATTTCCGAATTTGACTTTGCTTCCTTCATGAAAGTTGTAGATAATGAAGTCCTCTATCCACCACAACTTACCAAATGAGATTTGAATCAACCAATCAAAAGATATGATCAAAATGGTGGAAGGTCTCATTCTGAAATGTCAACGGCAATCATCCGACTCCATCGTCTGTTTTCACCTTTCTCCTCTCAGATTATCGAAATGGTGTCTTCGTATGATTTGTATCCCTTAAAGTTGGCTTTCATATTGAACTTTAATCGTGTCCATTGATTGTTTCTACAAAGAAATATGCTTGAACGATTGACAGAAGATCATCCTGATCGTCTTTTGTTATCAAATCTTCATCGTGAACCTCCCGGTGACCTCCAAATCTCTCAAATCACTCTCAAATGTTTCTCAACTCATCCCGATTTTTTCTCAACTGTCAGTGCCTGATTCAAATTTCCTAATTTTGACTCAAAACGTACAACACAAAACTCGAACCAACGCCCGGTAAACATAACTAGAGCTAAAATTGAGACTTGTAACACCTTAAAGCTAGGAAAACCATCAAAATCCGATCCCAACACGCATAAAATGCGTGTAGAAATACGGACTTATCAACCCACACTAAGAAACAAATGTGGTAAAGCAGTTATCATGCAAAGCACAATACACAACCTGGTCTCATGATTAGGTAGATTGATTAAAAATAAGGAAAACCAATGGTCGTATATTTCCTCAGGAATTACGATCCCATGAAAAAAGCTTAAATATGTTTCCCACGTAACCAAATATGG